AGAAGAGCATCTACTGCAGGCATAGCCTCGAGGCGGACGTCGCCATCTTCCTCCCCCGCCATACCGTTGACGAGGGTGTATAACTGTGTACCGTCGTCAACGGTAGACACACCCTGGATCAGGGTCGACGCCCGACGTCATGCAGCCATCAAACGGCGTCGCCGTCGTCTCTGTACAGATGTTCTATGTCTTGGTAAGACCAGAATGAACACGCACTCCGCGTCGCGGTGTCACCCTCACTTTCAGCTCCTTTGAAGCTCAGGAAGAGCACCCACCGCAGGAATAGTCTCGAAGGTGACGACGCCGTCTTCCTTCACCGTCAAAGCGTCGACGAGGGTGTATAGCTGTGCGCTATCGTCTACGGTAGACACACTCAGTGAAGTAGATAAAGAAAAGTTGATCAACCCTGGGTCAGGGTCGTCGCCCTGCGTCTCTGTAGCTAGCATACAGCGTCGCCGTCGAATCTCTGCGGTGGTTTTATGTCTCGGCGAGATCAGTGTCCAGTGCTAGTCCCACTTCCTGCTCCACCGTAGCTCTGATGTTATTAACTACATCCGACGAAGAGCTGCTAGCTCCGCAGTCTTCGTACAGTGGATAACGTGCCACTCCACGCGCATCTGACGGTCCATGCCGAGACGCCTCGTACCTCGTTCGGCCATGCCACTCGTGTCATGCAGCGACTGCTTCGAAACGTGAGCAGATATCAGTGGGTTACGTGCCACTCCGCGTGCATCACTGGGGCCTTGCCCTCAATACCTCGTCCTTGACCGTTCATGCCACGCATGAGATGCAGCGATCGATGCGATACTTGAGCAGCGCTCAGTGGGTTACGTGACACTCCACGTTCAGCCAGCGATTCATGCTTGGGACTCTCGTCCAAAGCACTCGAATAGTCCGAAATCCAGCACATTGACCGTCCCGGCCCAGTCCCTCCACCAACAGCTCTTCTGCTTCCTAGCAGAGGTGGTTTCATGACTCACCATAGCTCCACCGGAAGACGTGCTCATAGCGCCTAAGGTCTTCGACCTCCAGTCAATCCATGGCTTATGGTGTTACAACCATGCTATACCAAGGATAAGATCATACCGTGAAACTAAGTCTAAGACTAAGCATCTTACCAACGTCAAGAAATCTGACGCTAAGGTCCACATGGACTCTCGGCACCGTGACACATGTTCCCATCGCTAAATGAACAGTAACGATGACGTTTAACCGCGCTTTCAGCAACTCAGGATACAGCTGACTTCCTTCGATCGTGGAGCATCGAGCATGATTGCCCGGCGCCCGGAGTCGATCCGTATCTTCTATGGCCTCTCTTATCCCTTCACGTTCGCCTTCACGACGCATCAAACTTTATTTCATGTCTCTTCTTCTGCCACATCTAGCAAGCCCGGCTTGCATACACGATCCGTGTTTAAGAGCACGGAGCTCTTCGAGGCTGGGCCCTGCTGACCTCTACATCTTTGGGGCTCAACAAACCTCAGTTCTTTCTCAGTGGACCGCCCCGGGTCTACTGGGTGTTGTCGTTTCCCCGCGACAAACCAGAAGACTGGTAAGAAGCGGGACGTTGGTTCGATGAACCTTGACGTGCCTTGTGCAGGAAACAGCCAGTCCCAAGGTGACGGGCGACTTCACAGACAAGATAACGTCGAGTGTCTAAACGCTGCCCGGCAGCCCGTAGCTCCCCTTCCTCTTTCTCAGCATAGCTGAGATCCATCGGCTCAGACCCGCTCGAAGAACTACTAGAGTGTGTATTTCAAACAACTCGTGCCGACTAAAAGTTGGATTCGACATTTAATGCCACATTCACTGCTATTTAGAGAGAAGACGGATGCACACGGAAGACTTTTATTCTGACCACACCACCTCCATAAGGACGGTCACTGTGATCGCCTCGGGGAGATGATCTGCTGCTAAACCGGCAATGAGAGTACGCAACGCTTAAGCAAAGCTCACCAATTCCTTTTTGCCCTGCCAGGTGTCAAGGAAACACGATCGCACGTGATATGCCTGGCTGGGCGGCGACAACACTCGTAAAGGCTGACGCTTCGGCTCTTTCCAGGAGGGAACGCCGCTACAACTGAAGTGCTGCACGTCAGTGCCCATTATCGCGCTCGACCACCGAACTTGTATATAGCTAGTGCCACGCGCTGTTGCTCGGTCTGGAGCATGGCGGACACCATAACCACCTTTGTCTCTCTCACTCAGAGCAGAATATTCTCTCCATCTTTACCTCGAAGGTCTTAACACTTATCATGAGCGGCCTGGGTCGAAAGGAGTCACCCGTCGTCGAAGGTGGCGTCATGGACGCAGTTGACACCGATATCTTCTGCTTTAGGTGCTCTGACAGAGCCTTTTCATAGCTCATAAACGTTAAAGGCGCGCGTTCATCGCTTCAGGTCCTTGCGTTCGAGGTGTTCAACGCCCTCAGGGCCAAGCAGAATTTTTACCTCCTGCATGCCTTGGGGCAAATAGTAGAATTGCTCCATCCTCACGGAGATTAGCCGTAACGTCTCAGGTGTAGATTGACTACAAGTGCTACCAAGTGCAGCGGGGCTGCCGTGGCTCTTTCGCTTAGAAGAAGCTAAGCTTAGGTCGGTGACCTTCGCTCAATAGTTAGAACCAGTGCGAGTGTGGCGGATCGCAATCTGCTTACTCCAAGAGTAACCACAACCTTAACCCAAAGCAAATAAACTTTTCCGCTCAAAACATAAACTATGTTTCTTGGTTTTATGGAAAAGCCGCCAACATTTAAACCTAATGGCTTTCCTGATTAAATTGTAAAATCTAATTAGAACGCATAACTACTGGCAGTCTAGCCATATAGTGACTTTTTGTTAAGGTGTAGCTACACCATTTCATGGTCACAATATATTTTGTGACCCACACCCTTCATACCAGGATACGTGTGATTCCGTTACATCATATGTCATGATGAAGACGTTAGGTAAATAGGCACAAGACCCCACTGGATGACCACTTCGGAATAAGAAATATATTTGGCTTGGTTATCGACATACAGTATACATGAGTAAGAACTAGTTTATACACGCGCATAATAAACGGCTTTGATTATTGCCGCATGCGTTGATGCTCTACAGTTTGTAGCAGAATATTGGCAGCTCATGAGCACGGCCGTTATTTTTGATCTTACGAAAGGCACGTCCGGTAATACGGGTGTTGTGGTCAGGTAAGCACGATGGCTTATTTTGCTGCTATCAACGACGCCATTACGAGCGCGAAAATGGACAAACTGTCTCTTGAAATATTTTTCGCCAACGTTGCTTGCTAGTGGTTATTATTCTAAAATGAGACCCGTATGTCCAGTTAAATTTAGTCAACAATGTTCAAAGTGCTTGACACCAGAGTGAATTTACCACACGTTTCCCCAAATTATTGGACAGATGGGTCACGTAAGTCACGTGGCAGAGGATATCATCGAAACCACTCGCGCCGTAAAACCGCCAAGCTGCTTCAGATGTAGTACACGACTTGACAGACTTATGACAATTATATTAAATGGTTTGGGTATCATATGTTTTACTTTTTCATTGCCTCGAGAAGACTCCGGTATTGATTTGGGGCCCGTCGGAATGGTCTGGTTTGTTTATATCAACACGTCTCCACCACTTTAAAAATCAAGATGTATATCTCAGTAAGAGTAACCGTCATGCGCCGGGTGCGCAATACTTAGAGCCGAGACGTGCAAAAGCAACGCACAGATACCAGAGACAGACGTACCTCACGAGTTTTGTAGTGAGTAGATATGTTGTAGTAGGCCTACCTTTATGCAGTCTAAAAGAGCTCGCAACCTTCTATCACGTAGACTTATTATAGTGGTATAAGGATCCCGCTCAAACAAATTAATTGGTTTTTAGCAATTTAGGGCGAAGCAACGTCACAACAATCTTCAGTGGCCGATCTACCTTTATTGCTACGGCAGCAACACGACTTGAACCGATTAGGACGCCTTAATACAGTCCGTTCGATTGCGTTGATCGAAGAGCAGTGTCGTGCAACCTAGGCAGCATATTAATCGTGAAAGCGCTGTAGTGTTAGTCGGTTTGCCATCCTTTAGTACCCAATAATAGGTAGCGGACGCGGAGCATTGCGCTTGTGTGATTGTTTATAGAAACGAATAACGTTTGGAAGAGAGTTGCACATAGAGTCGATGCAGTGAGATCAACTTGAACCTCATTTGGGGGTAAAGCGTCCGGGCCAGACATGGAACAACTTCGAAGGGGTTCGTTACAGCCAAAAGATGATTAACGTGGAATGAAAACAGGTAACTGATACAACATGAGGACCCGAGCGCACAAAATGTAAATTGTTCTTGTTGGAATACCCGCACGAGCTGGCGGATTGTGCATTCAGCTTTTGCTCAAAAATATAAATGATGAGAACATAAGTAAGTGCACCACTGACGTATGCATGTAACATAAGGTATCTAGCTGCGAATTTACGGTGGGTTATGAATAATTACGTCGACGACATATCGGAGACTGGTACTACAGATTGAGCGTTTGGACCATTCTTGATGGTAATACGGAGACCAAAGTAAGCAAAGTGAAAAATACTCTTAATATACTTTTTCTTTACTCTTTGCAGCGGGGCTGCCGTAGCTCGTTGCTTAAAGGAAGCTTACTAAGGTCACTGACCTTACTATTTATACCAGAATCAGTAAGAGTGTAGCGGATCGCAATCAGTACCCAAAACCTTAACCAAGGCAAATACACTGTTCCGTTCAAAATCGAAATTGTATCCAATATCTAAAACCTTAGATTTTCCTGATCAAATAATAAAATCTAATTAATATGCATAACTACCGGCAGTCCTACCACATATAGCTTCTTGTTACGGTGTAGCCACACCATTGTGTTATTACACCAACTTGCGTAACCCACGCCTTTGTATGGTCACACCATCTTGTGTGACCCACCCTTACATACAAGGGTACGTGTAACCCCGTTACACTCTGGGTACGTGCAACACTGTTACAGTTCAGCACAACACACATGTACAACACTATAACACGTTTTACACCTACTAACACATTTTGACCCACAGGTTAGTGCGGTCACCGAGCAGTTGTCTTTTTCACGCCTGAATTGGAATAGTGTGTCTCATACAGTATTTTGTATTCGAGGTCTCCTTATCAAAAATGTCTATGCTGAGTCAGGGCTGTAATATAGCAACTCTAAAAACAAGGAATAGCGGTGGAAACGCGGAGATAAATGCTTTAGGAAGCAATATGATCTGCCTGCTTCCTTTTAAACGGGTTGAAGTTTGACGTTGGCGCAACCACCTTTAGCCCTTCTGCCGGGTTTACTTGGTCCCGTAGTATGGAATATTCCCTTGTTTTTTTACAAAGCGCGTCTAGTAATGCCGGATCGTGGTCTTTTATGCTGTCTGAATAAAATGGCTAATGTTGTTGCTGTCAGCGACACCTTCATCAATGAGGGTACAGCCAATTTTGCTCCTCGATAGAGGTTTTAGCTGACAATTTTTCGGTGGCCATTGATTTGGGTCGAAATCTGCGACGAACTATGCTAAGCATATTAGACATGACAATCGCATACAGGTTACCAACCGGAACGCGTTAGTCGTGAGCTAGGTAATTTCCTCTGAAGCATCAGCGCGGAGCGACCGTAATGCTGAAGTAATGACTTCCCAACATTGAGTTTGCGTTAAGCAATGCAGTACACGCTCCTTTAGGCTTGATCATCATCATGATGTACAGATGGTTATGCACCCCCATGTCCTCAGTTTTGACTAGGAGGGGTTGTACAAATAATTCGACTTGTTAATATCGGCTCGGCTTATTGTGGAAAAGTTAAGGCTCATAGCTTGACGAGGACATGAGTCATGTGCTAGTGCGCAGCACTAGAGGGTACGAAATATCTCCCCACTCGAATGTCTTTCTCGTCGAGCTAATATGCTCCAATTGTGGCCGGTTCTGCCGAGATGGTTAATCATCGATTCTGCCTAAAAGTCCCGGCGAGAGACCTATTTTGCTTTTAAGCATCATTTTGGCTTGCGATACGATCACAACTGTCTGTTAAAGGCACCCCAGGTAATTCATTATTGATTCGCCGCTTAATTTGCTGATTGTGGTGATCAAGGAGTTCATGTAGAACATAGGATGAGCTCATTTTGGGTAATTCAAGATATTTTTAGCATCGACCATAAGCGGCTTAAATTAGCGAGGTCACAGTCGATCTTATTTACTCAGCGCACAACATGTGTAGGTAGCTTAATAGCGTCTGTTAGAATCTTCTCGCCCCAGACAAATTATTTTGTATGTCGTTCGACTCTTGCATTCTCATGATTCTGTTGTATCACACCTTCTTCAAGAGAGCGAGGCACGGCCTGGTTCAAGCTCGAGACGTGGATGCTGGCTGTATCAGCAGGCTTCTGGGTATGAGCAGAGCTGCAAAAAAACTTAGGTGTTGAACGTGTTCTTGCAAAGGAAATTGGTAAGTAACTCAAAATAAAACAAATAAATTGCGTAGTAAGAAATTTTTGCGTTTTTAATTTAATCCGTTTGATCATAAAGCCATACATTATTTGTCTCCTCACATGTCATAATACATACAAAAATGGCTGAAAATGCCGAGTCCGGCGGAGATGAAGTTGCTTGCAAGACTCGCGACTCCGATACAGATGCAGACACTATTGCCCGCAGAACACGTACTAAGTATTCTCTTGTTGATGTCCAAATTGACACCCTAGAGGCTTCGTTGTGCGATGTTGAGCTAGAATTGGTTAGTTGTCGCATACATTTGTTGCCCTCGTTGGCGCCGAATCATATTGATACTTTTGCTCTACTTTCACGGCAATTTACATAAGCTCATGCTCACAACGTTGATTGCAGATGTCCACAGAAACGGAGGAAGATCGCGAGTACCAGCGCTTTCTTTCAAGTTTGGTGCCAACAGAGCAAGAAAATCTGTCGTTCCTCGACGAGGAAGACGAGGAATATAAACCAGACGAAGAAGAGGACGACCAAGAGGATGAAGTGACTCGCCGAGGCATTTCCAAGAAGGAGTTGACTGATTTGTTGTTGGATTCAACTCACATGACGTTTTTGAAGACGCCGACACCTATCGCAGCGGCGGTACCAGCTCTGGAGCCGATACAAGATACATTATTGATTGAAAACAACAATTACAAAGTAACACCACCATCATCTTCATCAATTGGTGGTGTAAATCTAAAAAAGGTTTCCACTGGGGCCGAACAACAAGCAAAAAAGAATTTCACTCGCCATTTGCCTGTCAGTACACCAGCAGAGCTCCGAGGTAGACCAGGAGCTGTGACTGAAGCACAATGCATTCAACTAGCATCACAGATGCACAAACATCTTCAATTACTGTTACAGTCCTATCATCTATTGGCAAAAAAGGCTAGTTCACCGGAATTAGCGACGTGCCGAGCGATGATTGAGGAACTGCAACAACGTGGAGAAAAAGCGCTCAAATACAAGAATGCATTGCTGTTAAAACTTCAGCCAACAATGACAAAATCTAACGAATCTAATGGAACAACTGCTAGCGAAGGGTATGGGGCATCCGAGAATTCGACTAGTAATCATCCTTCAGAATTGAATAGATGTGATGAGAACAGCAGCACGGAAAATTTGCTGGCGCTGCGACGAGTGACGAGGTCACTGACTGCAGCACATGCGGCTGTTGCCCACCCATCGATGTTTGAGCTGGTAGGATCCCAGAAAGTTGACGAATTTTCTGCTGTATTTGAACAAGGTTGTTCGCTTGAAGATCGCGATCGTGTTATACAAGTACAAATGTTACAACTAGATACGCACTTACAAACTGCCAAGAAACGGCGGAAAGGTAAAAAAGGATACTCAAGTACGGAAGATCTCTTGTTGGCTCATGGAGTAAAACGATTCGGTACACAAGCAAGCTCCTGGGAGCAAATTCAAAGGCACTTTCTCCCGACCAAAACGGTGCAGAATTTGCGCCACAGATATAAGTATTTAATTCGTCCAAACAATCCCATGAACGCAGTCAAAGCTTTGCAATCCAAGCTTCAGCCACAACACCACAGCAATAACTGGCTACTTGAAGAAGATCTTCGCATTGCCCGCGGCTTGATTGAATTTCACCAAGAAAAGTATCGTTTTGCATGTTTGGCGAAAAAACATCTTCCTCATCGCAGCCGTTTTGAAGTGCGAAAGCGGTGGGAACGATTAGAGGCGAAATTTCGATCGGATCTTGTCAAGGTTGGTCTTGAAGCACCTAATAAAGGCTCTTTTGATCTCGCAGTTGCAATTAAAGAGTATTTAGAAGATAAATTACGACATCGAATGTTTCGACAGAGTAAAGAAGCGGAAAAAGCGAAAGTAAATGCAGCTCTTCAGCTCCAACAACTTGGTCAAGAATTGCAAGAAAAATGTTTACCGCAAGCGGTTGGGAACTGTCCTCCCAGTGGCCTCAACTGTGCACCTGGCATGTCTTCTATAATATCTGCTGCTCACAAGAATGACACTAATAATTCTTGCCGGACGAAAAATTTGCACCCTGCTCTATTTTTCTCATCATGGTCGTTTATTAGCCCCGCAACACTTTTAAATTTTACTTGCAAGCATAATTGGCCTGCTTTTATGAATGAAGACACAGAGAGTACGGAGACATCGCAAACTTATGCTTTGGACGACAATTTGCGGCTGTCGATAAATAACACAATCGGTGAAGTGAATAACTCAGACCCTTGCGCAAGCGAGCAAATTCAAGACGTGACACCTTCCGATCGAGGCGAAGGATCAATGAATAATAATGAAGTAGATCACATGCCTCAGGCTGAACATCTTATGGATGCTCGCATGGCGCATGAGAAGAATGAGGAAGATGATGATAGTGATTATGAGCATGATGAATTGCTTTCGTCTGATGACGATGGAAGTGACTCGGATTTCGAGAGATTGGAGTTCACAGATGACGATGAAGTTGGTTCGTACGAAGATGAAGATGTCAATGGTGAGATGACGAGTGAGCAGAAACCTCTGTTGTTTGACTCGGAGGAATCTTCTCTTCTCAGCGACTATTCACTCTGGACATCCTCATATTCGCCTTTGTCGTTAGACGACGGCACGAAATCACCACCAAAACACCGATATCCTCTTCGACTTAAGAACTCAAACCAACATGGCAATGAACGGATGTCGCGCGCTTTTGCAGCGTTAGAGCGTCGAATGGTAGGCAAAAGTGTGGATAATTTCGATCTATTATCTTTTGCGAGCACTCAAACTGCATCAAATACGCATGCGAAGCGAAAAGTGGCATCCACGCCAGTGCTACCTCGTGTTTCTGCTAATGTAGTTGCCAATGAGAAAGCACATCAAGAGTATTCAAATGCGTGCGTAAGAGCTGGTGGACCGGACGAAATTAACGATGATACATGGGAAGACGATTCTGAGACTGAAGAGTTTGAAGTTGTCGAACTTCCTTCCAGCTCTGATGATGAGCATGCCTCAGTACCATCAGATGAAGACGATCCAGAATTACCCATGGTAGATCATGGTGACAGAACAACTGTGGTTGCAAGCACCTCACAGCACGAAATGAGAGACGATTGTACCTCATTGAAACCCAGCAAAAAGCAGAAGTTGCAGTTATGTCCGACTTGCTGTCGGTCAAGATGTACATGCTCATCCAGTGAGCGCATGCAGTTGCTGTTGCATCGGATGAAAGAAAAACGTTCATCATCTTCGCTAAATTGATTTATTTTCGTGACACAATTCGGCTAATCTCTGCATTTTTCCACTTTGCTATATCTCGTCCTTTGAGCCTATGCTGAAATTTTGGCTTTATCGGAATGTTTACGTTGCTTCCTTTTACGCTTTGTTTGAGAATTAACGAACGAGGGCTGCGATAAACTTTGCAGAATGAGATCATCATCATCCATTGTTTGATCCTGTTGGCTCTGCGAGAATCGATTCAGCTGGAATTTGCCCAGCAAAATATCTTTAATGCCTTCGTCAACTTCAAACTTTGGCTCTCCGCGAGGCAAGGCCAACACTGCATACATTCTGGATATCTCAGCAGGCTCCACCGCTCTTTTATACGAGACGTTGCTGGAAGCGGCTAGACCGACAGTTTTCTCCTTCACTGCAGTGACAGCAGCCTCCGCTTCCGTCTTTTCAGCATATTCGAGATACATGAACCCGTCTGATTCCATATCTAAGAAATTGTGGTGAATCTGCTTTTACACAATTGACATGCAGGTTTGATAAAATTCCCACATGGAATTAAATTGAGGCTCTGAAATGGCATACCGTGACCGAAAGCAGCATGCCGTACTCGGTGAAAAAGTCGCGTACAGTGCGCTCACTGGCACACAGCGATGAAGGAACGTTTGTGACACAGACAACGTGGCCTTTTCTCGCAGCATTCTTGTCGGAAGATTTGACAACGATCGGTTCCTTTTTCACCCGACCTAAGCTATTTTTTTTCTTGTCTATTGCTCGTTCCATTCGGTTATTATAAATCAATTAAATTATCTATGAAGTTATTTAGCGAATAGAATGAAAGAACGCGAGGTGCAATTGTACTCGAATGACTTCGCATGGGAAGACCTTGCGAGGACATGTGAGATGCAAGTGGAAGTGTGGATGGATGATGAGGCACTCGGTGTTAAGGCAAACAACAAGCTTCTCGAGATGCAGCAACTTGCTATTGAAGCCAAGAATAAGTGGGACGACTTCCACCAGCGCAATAAAGGTTAGTGGCTGGTGGAATAATATCATATCAAAGCTGGCTTAACATGTTTTCATTCATCAAGGTAAAGCGTACAAACCTCGCAACTATCTCATTAAGGAGTTTCCTGAACTTGACTCACCAGATCGTGAGGTGATAGAAGTCCTCGAGTTGGGATGTGGGTACGGTAGCACCATTTTCCCGATTTTGGCTAAATGCCCCAATGTACACGCACAAGTTTGCGACTTTAGCGCAAACGCTATTGATATTCTACAGCTTAATGCTGATTATGACTCTAAGAGATGCCGTGCTTTTGTGTGCGACATTGCACTGGAAGAGCTGAAGGACGTCGCTCCAGAGTCTATCGATATTGTCCTAATGATCTTCGTACTTTCAGCTTTACCGCCAGAATCTTTTGCACGGACACTGAAAAAAATTTATGCCGCGCTTCAGCCTGAAGGGGTTGTTTGTTTTAGAGACTATGGACTGTACGATCTTGCCATGCGACGCAATGCCAAGAAGCTGGGCCCAAGTTTGTACTACCGCAATGACGGTACTTTAGCATACTTCTTCTCACGTGAGAAATTGTCGGAGTTGTTTAGTCAGGCTGGATTTATCGTATTGGAGAATGATTACTGCACCGTTCGACTTCGCAATCGCAAGAATGGAGTCACCATGGACAGAGTCTGGCTACACGCTAAATTTAGGAAACCGTCAAAATGACTAATTATCATGCAGTAGTATTTGAATTGTTAAAATCGAAAGCGTGACCCCTAGATCGCGTTCGCACTGTAAATTATCGTTGAGGTTACGTTGCATAATGTGGCGCCGCTCGCTATCGTTGCGTACGCGGCTGGTGACGCTTAAGTATCAGCCCATTGCCACACGCTTTGTGTCATCTGCCGTACAGATGTCTGAGGAGCAGGAAATGCTCAACGGGCCGCGCGAAGCCATGGATTACGACGTGCTAATGGTATGTTGAGACGGAGTGATGGTCATATTGCATGCGGATTCAAATAGTGGTTAATCAATGCATACTCTTGGCGGACAGGTGGGTGCAGGCCCTGCAAGTCTTGCGGCCGCTATCCGCTTGAAGCAACTTTCAGCTGAGAGAGGCACCGACCTTTCTGTATGCGTCGTCGAAAAAGGAGCCGAAGTTGGCTCGCATATTGTGTCGGGCAACGTGCTGGAGCCACGCGCTTTAAATGAATTGTTGCCCAATTGGAAGGAGCTGGGAGCTCCTCTGGACACACCCGTTAGCAAAGACAAATTCCTCTTGCTCACAGAGCAAAATTCCTTCAGTCTGCCGCACTTCATATTGCCACGAGAAGAGGTATAACAGAAGCTGTATTTCAGTGGAAATCGACACAATTGCAATTTTGGGTATTTTCTAACGCCATTTCATCCTTTTGGAAATTTGCAGCACAATGATGGCAACTATGTAATTAGTCTCAGTAAATTTGTCCGTTGGATGGGCGAGCAAGCTGAAGAAGCAGGCGTCGAGATTTACCCGGGCTTTTCCGCCTCCGAAGTACTGTACCGTGATGACGGATCCGTCAGTGGTATTGCTACACGTGACGTTGGTATCGGCAAAGATGGCAAACCGAAGAACACGTTTGCTCGAGGTATGGAACTTCGTGCACGTGTGGTACGTGTGCAAACACTCTGGTTGCGAGGTTGAGAAAAGGTGGTAATGGTTTTATTGTTTCAGACGCTTTTTGGAGAGGGCTGTCGTGGCTCCTGTAGTGAAGAAGTCATGGAGAAATTTAATTTACGAGAAGGCGTACAGCCCCAAACGTACGGGATTGGTGTGAAGGAGGTGTGGCGCATTCCTAAAGAAAACCATCAGGCTGGTCTTGTGCAGCACACACTTGGCTGGCCTTTGCAACGCTCGGTAATGGACAAGACGTTCGGGGGTTCATTCATGTATCATATGGAAGACGACCTCGTACAGATAGGTCTTGTCGTAGGTCTGGACTATGAGAACCCATATATAAATCCGTACGAAGAACTTCAGCAGTTCAAGACCCACCCAGCTATTCGGAAGTTCTTGGAAGGTGGCGAGTGCATCCAGTACGGAGCTCGGTGCTTAAATGAGGGTGGCTACCATGCTATTCCAAAGCTGACGTTCCCTGGTGGAGCCTTAATAGGATGTTCGGCAGGTTTTCTGAACGGTGTCAAGATCAAAGGCACACATACTGCAATGAAGTCTGGGATGCTTGCTGCTGAGGCCGCCTATGAAGCTCTGACTATCAATGGTGCAACGCCAGTGGCTGAGTCTGCGGCGATAAATTCCAGCGAAGAAGCTGTTGATATCTCTAGCTACGAAGCCGCTGTAGAGAAATCGTGGGTCGCCGAAGAGCTCAAGGCCGTTCGTAACGTCCACGCAGGTTTCCATAAAGGGTTTCTACCTGGTTTACTTTATGCTGGAGTGGCGACGCACGTACTGAGAGGAAAGGAGCCGTGGACGATCGCAAATACTGAAACAGACGCGAACAAAACGCGTCCGGCAAACAACTTTACGCCCATTCAGTACCCAAAGCCGGACGGTCAGTTGACATTTGACCTACTTTCAAATCTGCAGCGCAGTGGTACCAATCACAACCATGACCAGCCCTCTCACTTGCGTATCAAATCGGAGCTTTCTGAGGTTCCGTCAAAAGAGTCATATCCAGTGTATGCTGGACCGGAACAGCGATTTTGTCCTGCCCGGGTCTATGAATACACGGATGGTACCGAGGCCAACGGTGTTCCCCAGCTTGTCATCAACGCTCAAAATTGCGTTCATTGCAAATGTTGCTCAATCAAGATGCCGAAGGAGTATATTAAGTGGACTGTTCCTGAAGGTGGAGGCGGCCCTGCTTAGTGAGTTAATGTGATTTGTCTGGTGGATTCTTGACGTTGTCTAATTGATGTTATTTGTATTCTCTTGCTGTGCAGTGAACTCATGTAACGATTTTTTGGACAATTTATTTGACAAATATACGGCCGGAAACATTTGACTGTAAAGTTGACGACATTCGCAATTCACGTGTGTGTTTCAATGTGATAAATCTTATATTAACCCAAAACTTTAGCTAGTGCCGTCTTCTGTAGTTTTGTGAGATGACGAGGAAAAGTTATACTGAATCGAATGCGCAGATCACCTCGGGAGCCTGGCTGGTTGGAGATTGGCATACCTTCATTCTTGATTAATTTCTCCGAGGTCGGGCTTATGACTTCATTGCAAGGGATGGCCAGCTTGCGGCTGTCCAGCGTCGGCACTTCGATACAGTAATCGCCAAGTGCTTCACTCAGTTTAATCTTTGCTGTGAAAATAAGGTGAGCGCCATCACGTTTAAACACATTGTGTTCTTGCTGTACGACTTGGAAGATTACGTCACCAGGTTCATTGGTTCGAGTTTCGTTGCCTTCGCGGTCAAACGTGATTTTGGTGCCAGCTTTCCATCCGGGCTTTATCTTGATCAAAAAAGTTTTGGCATCGTCCACAAGTTCGTCATGCAGCAAGCGCTTGCGCGCAATAACTACCGACTTAGATGTTCCGAGAAATAGTTCTTCAAGCGTACATGATAGATCAGCCATGATTGGCTCAGCTTTCTGAGGACCCTTATTACGCAGGGAACTTGCAAATGGCTGTGTGTCACCGAATCCAAAATCCATAAATGGGTTTGATGTGCCAAAAAATTTGTTAAAAACGTCCTCTGATGCACGCTCGTTAAAAGCGTATCCATCACGCATATCGCCATTTTCATCCGGTACTCCATTCTTTAGGCCGTCGTAACCGTACTGGTCGAAGACAGCCCGACGTTCTGGATCACTCATGACGTCATAGGCCTCCGAAATTTCTTGAAAACGATACTGAGCCTCAACCTGATTGTTTTTGTTTTTGTCAGGATGCCATTTCATCGCAAGTTTACGATAACTAGCATATTGAAGCAAAGCAGACTTTGAGCATTTTAAAATTAAATGAGAACTTGCTCCTTAAACGTTAACTTACGCTTTTTTAATTTCTTGCTCAGTGGCACCACGCGGAACATGCAACACCTCGTAGTAATCCATCGTGTACACAGCCTTAATCGGGAATCAAAATTTTGTCGTTTCAAGGAACGGGTAGACGCGAAGTTCTGACTAATTTGGGTCGACATAACGACGAAACGCGCATCTATTATTTCTGTAAAAAAGCGTGGTCCTAGAAATCGCGAAACAACATTAGCATCCCATCCAAGTGGATGATGGCACGATCTAATCGATCGAGGGAACGACTAAGCTTATCGAACTTATCGATATCGAGAGCTTCTACGAGTTGCTCCGACCGCGCAATTAGCTCTTTATTTTCCTCTGCCTCAAATTTGCGCCGACGACGAAGCCTACATAGTGAATCCTGTACACGCTCAGTAATCCGCGTTTGCATCTGTAGAACGTCCACGGACCAACAGAAAAAGGTGAAGGCAGGATTGTGGTCTGCGCGCTTTGGGATTTCCTGCAATTTTACCAATTTGTCCGTATACAATTCGTACAAACGATGCCTTGCATCATTGGACGGTAATAGCGCGAGCTCGCCAATGCTTTTTTGCTCTAACTGACGCTTTTCCATCAAGAGACGCACGATACGAGCGCTTGCAACGCCATATTTGTCCTGAATGTATGCATGCACCGTGGCTTGTTGTAAGAACTCGACGATCTTTTGCATATGCACAACGTATTGACCGCCATCACTAGCGCGGGCTTTGGTAGGATCGAACGCCTCTTGAGCAACCTTCATGATCATACCAGACTTGTCACGACACATAACCGTGATGTAGTTTAGTAATAGACGCCATGGATTGTTTGACTCAGAAGGTAGCGCTTTTTTTACGCTCTCCATGTTGAACAAATCACGCGCCGACACAGGGGCTGATGTCGCTTCGTCCTTCTCGCGTTCACGCGGCGATGAGTGTTGAAGCATGGCTTCCACAATGACCCCGGCCACTGCATTGATATTCTCTGATGCGAACCGAATGCAAGTCTTGTGTCGCAAGTCACGCAACATTTGTGTCATGCCAAAGCGCCACACCAGTGATGTCTCGTCCGTGTGTGTACCAGAAACTTCAGGGGCGTCTTCGCCGCTGGTTTCGCCACCGGTGTTTCCATCTTTATTCGAAGCACCTCGCGTAGGCAGTTTCGCACGCTTCGACTTCTTCCGCTTGATACCACGTGAAGACGACGCCGAGCTCGGCGTCCATTCGGCTTCCGAGTCCTCTTTCTCCCTGCGAGATGCTTCATCTGCATCTAACATCATTTGCAGCTCCACCGGAATTGTGTTTCCCGAAGGCAGCGGTGATACCTTTCGCTTCTTTCCGCGCACCGAAATGCCATCACTGCTACCAGTTGATTTACTGGTGTTTCCAGCGTTTAAATGCATTTCATTATTATTCGATGTGGCCCTCAAAATGCCCGTTGTGCTATCGTCCTGCCCGTTTGAAGTGCTTGAAACGACGGGGACCTCTTCTGCCTCTGTCAGCTTCAACTCCAGCGGATGTACCCGCGAAATGTAGCGTTTCTTAGCCATCTCCACAAATACATCACGCACCAAGTAGCGGCACTCATCGAGTTCATCTTCACCAATCTCATCCTCTACAGTTCCACCTTCTTGAGCCTGCACCTTTTGCTCTTGCCGCCGAGCCTCCGCTAAATTATAGGCCATTGTCTCAATCGACTGATCCATTCGCATCCGTCCCTGAACTAACAATTCCTCCATAACCACTTCACCCTCGACACCAAACGTTTCCTTCGCCAGCTCAATAAACTTTGGAAACCGCAATCGATAGAGAGCTTCCTCCACATTAATCTATCACAACGAATACAATGCACCAGCTAATTACTAATAAAACATGAACAAGCCACCGAGGGACAAACTTTGTAAGAAACTGCAGGCGTATCGCCTCTCACAGGTTTCACGTCTAGCACGTTGTGCTGCAGCAATTTCAGCAATGCACATTTGATCTATAGCACAATAACACGAAGAGATTTCAAAAATGACATTGCACATATACAATTTTTATGAAATATGTATGAACCAAGGGTCGATTTTACCTCGTGCATTGAAAGCACCGCAGACGTAGTGGTAGTCTCGCGTTGCAGCTTGTGCACAATCTCAGCTAGACGCAGGCCTTCGGATCGCAGCAAAGTCTCGGCTACCTTTTCCGCTACATCACCAAAATCTTCACGCACAATACTCATAACGAGTGCTCGTTGCGAGTGCGAGGCGAACGCCGCCTTGTTCTCACTAATCATTGGGTTGAAGCTTTTTGACCGCCAGCCATAACGAGCAAGCACTAATTGATGTATCCGACACAAATTAAGCTACAATTTTTGAATATGAGTCGCAAGCGACCATGTGATTTGGAGGAAATGTACGCTTCTGAGCCCTCCGAGTCCGAAATGGAGGAGCAACAGTGTGCACAAGCAGCAGAAGCTTTCAATCAATTTATTCGTTCGCATCAAATTGCTGCCAGTGTAAAGCTTTAGATGAGATAGACATGACCTTTAATTGAGGGCTTGACATGAAATACACTTTTGTGCAATGATGGCTTTTAGACTGAGGTTGCGCGTAACCGTGTTAAAGGGTCACTATACATAATTGAGCAACGACGCCGACGGATTCAGTTCCCAGTACTGCCGAATGTTGCCGCACTTGAAGCGTTGCAGGGCTCCAGGGTGCAAAGTACGTCATCTTTCTCAGAGAATATCCTATAATTTGAAAAAATTGTATGATACGCTAGCGTCGGAGCTTCCTTTGGAACCAGACCCGCATTTACAACGCTTAGTTTCATTTAATGTGGTCAATCCGAACCTAACAGCATACAAAAAAGCAGTAATGCTGCCTAAAGTGCCTCCAATCCCAACGGCGACGATGTGGACGGCGCTGACCAAAAATTACGAGGTGGAGGATGAGCCGACACTGAAATTCCCGTCATCTTCTGGCGATGGTGAAGCCGAAGACTTTGTGGCTGAATTTTATCGGAATAAGTAAGGCAAAAGTTTAAAAGCTTATATTTATGCTCTGATCGATAGTAAATGTCACGTAGGCAGCAAAGAACAAGTGCATGCGAGATGGAATTTACCAAGGAGTTGTGTAAAGGAGTGCTTGAAACACTTCAGTCAACATGGGATCTCACTCCGAGCGACCTCAAGCGCGTGGCACAAGTAATTTGTGTGGAAGAAGAAGTGTTGGTAGAAGTGCACAAGAAAATGTGTCAATCACAATCCAGAACAAAGAAGAAGCGACGCTCAGGGGCGATAACAAGTATTAATTTAAAAACTGTCCCCACATCAACGGAAGGAAGGGCAGAGAATGGAGTATTGGATTTGTCTAGCCAGTCAAGTCTCTCGATGAAAGAGTGCTTCAAATTATACGAGCAACTTGTTGATTCCTATCGTAGTACGCGGCATACGAAGAAATTGCTGTCCTATCAATCTATGACATGATAAATGGTGTGTGTTAAATTATGGCTGGCAGGTCTTTTCTGTCGACGCTGCTGTGTTTACGACTGTGATTACCACGGATGTACGGAGCAGCCAAAGCTGGTATGAAGCTATTACAGTGTCCATTTCGACTATCAGCTGACGCATTTGAATATTTAGAAAATAGCAGAGCAAAATGCTGTTGCACGAAATGCGAAAGAGAAAAAGACAATGGTCAACAAAAGATCAAATTGTGGGAATAGATGCTTCTTCGGTCGAACGGATTCATCAAATCATAAAGTATCCACTGAAGCAAGTGCTATATCATCCACAGTTGGATGGGGTCAGCCTTTGCGCATTCTTTGTGCGCGCATTTATAACATCTGTCTGGGCAATTTTTGTAAAATGGCAAAGCTGCTTGGCAACAAGAGTTGCATGGAAGTAGCTGACATGTGCGCAAATTACGACTTTCATGATAGCACTTCGCCAAAAGAGGTGAGCTTGAGATGAATATTGTTAGTTGTTACAGCTAAATCTACCTGTTCGTGCTTGAAATCTAAACAGATTCGACCCAGGCTAAGAAATCGACACTCGCGAAAAAGGAAAATTTCTCGAATGTCGATGTTCCACTTACAAAGTGAGTGTACATATTTTTGATAAACACTGCGAGTGTTATTGTCACCGTAGATACTCTAAATGCTTCGAGATCAAAGCATTTTGGCCACACGGAATGACATAAAGTGACTAAACGAATTTAGAACCCAAGAAAGCAAAAGAAAATTTTGTCTGGGGCTAGAGCGGGTTGCACATCTTCATTCATAATATCCATATTGATTCGTTTGACGGCATGGCTTCTTATACTTACCATGTTGTTTACGTCACTACAGACGCTAAGAATGGAGTAGTAAACTCAGTCCAAATCAAGTACGTCTCCAATTTCATGATATGGTAGTATGTGTCTAACGTGATCGACGCATAGAATTGAGCCGTGCTCCCACGTCGGATATTGTGAGCCTGGTGTTTGTTCTTGTGTTGAAAAAGGCATCTTTTGTTCAAAGCACTGCCATTGCATCCACGACGAGTGCAAGATTTTTTTTCTCGGATGCCAGTGTCTTCGTGGTCGATGTCGCACAAAAGCTTGCCCATGCTATTGTTCAGGACGCGAGTGTGATATCGATTTGTGTAAGCTGTGTTGCGCTGATGAAATTGCTGCTCGAGAAAAGGGTGAATCGTATGACTGGAAATTGGGAAGAAAAGATTCGAAGCATGTATCATGCCAAAACCGCAGCATAGCATTATCTAAGGAAAAGCACGTTCGATTGGGTCGTTCAAAGCTCAATAACTCTGTGTGGGGACTTTTCGTAGAAGATTTTGTTGCAAAAGATGAATTTATTATTGAGTACATTGGCGAAATGATTTCACAAGAAGAAGCTGATAGGCGAGGAACAATCTACGACAAGGCCGACCGAAGGTATTAGAGACCTTTAATGGGTCTTTATGACACTGTGTCTGTCACTGCTCAATTTGTTTATGTGCAGTTACCTATTCAATCTGGATACGAAGACCGTCATTGATTCAACTCGGAAGGGTAATAAAACACGAGTACGTCTCTTATTTCTTCTAACTGGGTCGTCAAATGATTAATTAATCGTCAAATGAAAAGTATATCAACCATTCCTCCTCGAATCCGAATTGCGCGTGCAAGATAGTGAACGTTAGTAGCGATTTTCGCATTGGTTTATACGCAATCCATGATATCCAACCACACACAGAGGTACGTGACGGGATATAAGTTTCATAACAGCTGTCCTAACTCCTGGCATGCATAGCTTTTCTTTGACTACGGCTATGATAAACAGCAAAAACTTTGAAGCAGCGTTCAACTCTTACCGTTGTGTGTACTTTGTGTCACACCCTTCTAACCTGAATTAAATCAATTCGAAATTTGGTGCATAGATAGTCTGAACTGACTTTTTAGTTTGAACACAAAAATTGGTTAGCTAAGCTCAGTTTCTTCGTAGAATATCGCATTCTTCATCGTCATGTACGATCGTAGACTTACACTTGCAAGTACAAATTTGCTCTCTGCGCACCAGTTTTGATATAGGATAGACGAGCTTTGCGTGTGCACTGGTAGTAGCTCTTCTGCGCTGCTTTTATGGGCTTTTTGTTTGCTTGGTATTGTTCAGGTGAGTATGTCATCCTAGTAAATTACTTGCTATATATAGACCATGATCAAGTCCGCATTCAATACATTTTATTTGTTCCGCATTCACCCTGTGATCTTATGACCCGTATATTACGGTAGACATTGTGCCATACTTTTCAACGAGAGTGTTATTAAACTTGTCGCTTGTTCTCTGAATTACCCCGCTACTGACCTTTAAAAAGGAATGAACCATAAAGTATACTTTCTTGGTCAAAAAAACATCCAGAGAGAAAAGGAAGCGATGTCGGACAAGCAAAAATTTTACGAAGGCGACTCGTTTGCGACTTGGAGACGAAGAAAACGTTGTGCTGCGTTAAGGACAATCCTGAAGTGGGGATGGAGCAGTTGAACGGTTACGTGAAGAAGCTCGGTCCATTGGTGAACCCCGTTTTCGGCGAGCAGCCGGGTTCCTTCATCGACGAAGGCTACTTAATCCCATATCTAATGGTAGTGTATGAAAATAAAAAGGTGGCGGCCAAGATTGATGAGCCTTTTGCTGAGTGGTCAAAGTGGTCGAAAAATGGAGGTAGAGTGACAACCTCACAAGGAGTGTATATTCTAGAGCCGCTTCCTGGACGTCTTAAAGTGAGGTTGCCCGTCGTGGCATACACACCGCGAGATGCTGACTGGACTCCAGAACAGGTATGAGCATACTGACCCTGCCTTTGTCGTTGAGATCGATAAGCTTTCTGGTTTAGGCTCTCAACGCCAAGCTCTCGATCGAAAGATGCAAAATGAGTATTTTTAGGACGGTGTCCAGTTGGGATGGCTAATCGACCCACACCCAGACTTTAAGCGGATGTATGAGTACTGTCTCGACGAAAATCGAAATGTGCAATGCTTTGACAACACTAAATGGAGAAATCTTGACGGTGGTGATGTTCTTCCTGGATCATGATACGCGAACTTGTGTTGGAAATGGTGTTGAACCATGATTTGGAATCGTCATCAGAAGATGAAGTCGATCTAGTAGACCATACTTATACAAGATCATTTCTATAGAAGTATAGCTCTGATATACAACCTATTGATACCTGAAGGAAAGAAGTATTTATAATCTTATGATCAAAGACCAGAAGATCAAAAGATCGGCCGCGGGACGTGCCTTCTAGTGGGAACCGTGGTGAACAACAAACACTAAGTAACCAGAATTTGACCGTTGGACTCGAACCCTCTTTAGCAGATTGAAGCCACCACTCCAAACCACTGAGCCAAAATCCACGTGGACCCGGTGGTGTGGGTCAGGTGGTCAATGCCTCTGGGCCTCACGGTGTGTGGTGCGGGTTCAAGCCCCTCAGCGAACAAAATCGCAATCGAACCCAGAATGTTGGCTGCATGCTAAATATTACCGACAGAAGCCAAAAATGGACTTCGGGAGGCGACTTGTACAAGAATAAAACTGCTGGCGGAATGAAGCAATGTATGTCTTTGTCACGGCGCGAGTGGGTATAGCCGTTTAATAAGAAAACACATAGCAACTTTCAACTGAGCCAAAATCCATGTCGATATTGGAGGGGTAAAGTACAAAACTTAAAATGCAAATTCTTAGTTGAAACTCGCGCAGTTCTCTCAGAAGGCTTGCCCAGCAATAAGTAAGTTGCCTAACTCATTCTTCATACCCAACATCTTCCGTGTGAATGTTCCCGAAATCATTTCGCATCTCTACTTACCCATTTTCTGCGTATCTTAATTCACTAAATTCATCGTATCGTCACTCACTTAAATCTTCGTATTATCACTCACTCACTATATTGAATGCGAGTGGTCAAGTCGGACACACCTGAGAAGCTCGGAGCCGTCTTTGTCGCCATCCGTGTTCCTGTCGCTGCTAATTACGTTTTCACGGTGGCTAGCCAGGTGCATCCTCGATAAAAGTGTTAAGGTAGTTCAGCGGGGCTACCGTAGCTCTCTCTCTCCGAGGAAGCTTGGTTAAGGTCGGTGACCTTCGATCTATACCTATAACCAGTACGAATGTAGCGAATCGCAATTCACTTACTCCAAGAGTAATTACAACATTAAGTAAAAACTAATTGATTTTTCCGTTTAAATCGTAAATTGTATTTCTCGGTTTTCTTCGCGGCAAATAAACATATACCAAAACCTATAGGTTTCCAACCTGGATAGTAAGACCAAATTAAATGTATAACTACTGGCAGTACTGAATTCTTGTTTAAGTATAGCCACACCATTTTGTGTGACACACACCCTTCATACCAGACCCCTCACACTACCCTCCATCAAGATTGACAACACCTACAAATCACATTCAACTGTCGCCTCGAACGAGTTCCCGTGCCAAAGATACCACAACATCAGCAGGACCTACTTCACGAACTCTTTGCTCAATGATCCCAGTGTCGAGGACACGGAAGACACCCAGCCTCGCTGGTTCCGAGAGCGCCGATAGTCAGCCAAGTAACTATTGAAGACGACCTCGCCTGCCCAGCGTACGAGGATACCTATTTGCCAGCTTTGAATTCATGTTCTTTTTTTCGCCAGTACTCTTGGGAGCAAAAGTGAAGATGCTCCTGTCGTGTACGCCTTTGAATCGCATTTACTTCCACCATCTCCGACAAAAATACCTTTTAAGACAAGGAAATGCTTTCGGAATCGATGTCTACTTTGGACCGCGCACCGCACCCGCCACAAGCGATGGAATACCTCGTGGAGGATTTGGAG